TCACCATGTTGATCAGGATGGTCTCGATTTCTCGACCTCATGATCCACCTGTCTCGGCCTCCCAAAGTGCTGGGATTACAGGCTTGAGCCACTGCGCCCGGCCCATCCAGTATTTTTATATTTCAAATTATATCTACTGAACGATTTGGTGACAGAAATGTGCATTGATTTTACCTATTGGATTTCAGTAACAAAGCAACAATAATGATGGTTATTAAATAACTATATGACAATACATGTGAAAGTTTATATAGGTGGTGCATTTTATTTTATTAGTCTACTTTTTTACCTTTATACTCATACCAAATTGTTTTAATTCTGTAGCTCTGTGGTGTTTTTTCTTTTGTAATAAGAAACTGTAATGCTAAAACATTTTCTTTTCTGAAGATTGTTGGCTATTGTCTCTCAAAGCTTCCATATACTTTTGTAGTAGTTATTGTTGCTTCAAACATGCAATGAGAAATTTTAAAAAAGCATTTCAGTAAGTCTGTAGATTACATTTAGTATGGAAATAATTATTTCAACCTTTGAACAGGAGCCCGTTCAAGAGTGTCTTGTTTAATTTCAATATATTTGTATAATTTTTAAGTTTTTTTCTATTATTTTATACTTTCTTTTAGGTTATAGAAAGTGATCCATAAAAATTCAAATTGAAAAATTTTGTTAAGACTTCTCTTTTGGCCTAATAGGTGGACTATCAAGGAGAATGTTGTATGAGCTACTGAGAAGGCTGTATATCCTAATATTGCTGAGGAGGGTTCTCTATACTTCTGTTAGGAATGGTTGTTTTATACTGTCTTAAAGTCTTCTGTTCCCTTACTAATATTCTCTTTTGGTTTACTTTCATTACAGAAAGTTGGGTGTTGAAATATGCAACAATAATTATATTGCTCTGTGTGTTTTTTGATTCTGTTAATATTTGCTTTATATATTTAGAAGCCTAATGTGAGATACATACACACATGCGTATACAAATTTGTCGTAGGTTCTCAATAAGTAAATCTATTGTTTAATGTCCTCCTCTGTATCTTTGAAATTTTGACTTAAAATACATTTTATAAAATATGGCAGTTTTTGACTTAAGATATAGCTCATGTAATATTATTCTGACCTCTTCTGCTCTTAATCTTGTTGCATGGAATGTCTACATCCATCTTGCCACTTTCAGTCTTTTTCTTTTGAGATGGAGTTTCGCTTTTGTTGCCAGGCTGGAGTACAGTGGCACAATCTCGGCTCACTGCAACCTCCATGTCCTGGGGTCAAGAGCTTCTCCTGCCTCAGCCTCTCAAGTGGCTGGGATTATGGGCACCTGCCAACACGCTTCACTAATGTTTGTAGAGACAGAGTTTCACCATGTTAGCCAGGCTGGTCTCAAACTCCTGACCTTAGGTGATCCACCCACCTTAGCCTCCCAAAGTGCTGGGATTACAGGTGAGCCACTGAGTCCAGCCCAGTCTTTTTTTTATTATCAGGTCTCAGGTGACTCTTGTGGAAAGAAGAGTTAGACAGATTTTAGTTCTAAAAATTTTTAAATAAATTCCTCTATTGAAAGTATGTCTCTTGATTGTAAAGTTAAATATATATGTATTTATGAATATGTATATTTAAATAATATTCTTAAACAGAAGGAATTAACTAATGTTATTTTATTAGTTGTTTTATTTGATTCTTGTATCTTTGTTTCTCATTTTCTTTCTTTCTTTCTATTTTTTGAGACTGAATCTCATTCTGCCACCCAGGCTGGAGTGCTGTGGTGTGATCTCAGCTCACGGAAACTTCCACCTCCCAGGTTCAAGCAGTTCTCCTGTCTCAGCCTCCTGAGTAGTTGGGACTAGCCACCACACCTGGCTAATTTTTATATTTCAGTAGAGACAAGGTTTTACCATATTTGTCAGGCTGATCTCCAACTCCTGACCTCAGGTGATCCACCTTCCTCAGCCTCTCAAAATGCTGGGATTACAGGCAGGAGCCACTGCCCCCTGGCCTCTTTTACTTATTTCTTATTTTGTTTTGTGTATCTATATAGATACATAATTTGTGGTACCTTAGGGATTACATAAACCTCTAAAACATACAACAATATATTTTAATTTGGTAAGAAACAAACTTCAGTTGCATATAAAAATTATACCTCAGAATTCTAATTTCTTTATTCTCTAAAATTCCTTCAATTTTTGAACATAGTTAAAAATGTTTTCTGCATCATTATGATTTTGTTAGGAAATTTTATTTTTGTGTATGTGCATATCTTTCTCAGACAATGAATTTTTGTATGATTGTCATTTCTTGAATTATGTTATTTGCAGTAAAAGAAACTGCCTTCAGCATCTTTTATATGTAGGGCATATGCAGTGCCAATGTACTTTTTCAGAATTTGGCTTATTTAGGAAGGCTTTTTTCTTCCTATTTGGCAAGACAGATTTCCTGATGGTATTATTCTCACATGATAGCTTTTGTTTTCAGGAGTTTGACTATATCACAGCGTTTTCTTCTGGCTTGCAAAATTTTAGGTATCAATTCACTGGTTATCTCATAAGACTATGTTTGTAAATGACACATCGCTTTTATCTTGCAGCTCCCAAGATTGTCTTGTGTCACTTTTGAAATTGTGCTTAATTTGTGTTTCTTGCTTGGTGTGGTGGCACATGCCTGTAATATCAGCACTTTGGGAGGCTGAGGCAGGTGGATCACAAAGTCAAGTTCAAGACCAGCCTGGCCAAGTTGGTGAAACTGCATCTCTACTAAAAATACAAAAATTAGCTGGGTGTGGTGATGGGCACCTGTAATCCCAGCTACTTGGGAGGCTGAGGCAGGAGACTCACTTGAGCCCAGGAGGCATAGGTTACAGTAAACAGAGATCGTGCCACTGTAGTCCAATCTGGGAGACAGAGCAAGACTCCGCCTCAAAAAAAAAATCTGTGGTTTTTTTTTTTTTTGGCTCCTCAGAAAACTGTCACCCACATGAATGGTCTCTGTTTCTTATAAGCATTTTTGTGTATTATAGTTTCTTTGTTGAGCTTCTTTATTTTTACAACATATTTTATGTTAGGAGTTTTCAGTTGTAATTTCTTTTTGTGTTTTTTACCCCCGCAATTTTCTTTTTGATATTTTTAATATCTTTGTTCTTACCATCATTTTTCTGAGTTTTCATAGTTTTATGTTTTACTATTTTGCTTATTAAGTATTATTTTCAATCAGTTTTTAAAGTTAATGTATACTTTTTCAGTTTCTTTCTGAAAACCTTATAACATTCTTGAGGGGACTATATTGTACTATTTTATATACATTGTAATCCTTAATTGTGACATGGATATCTTAAAAAGCTACCTGTCACAATTTTTATAATGTCGCTGTAGGTCCTGGCATAGTCAGAAAAAATTTTCTCAGCTAGAGATTCTGAGAGTCTCTTAAACATGTTCTTATTATCTATCTTGTCTGAAATTTTGTATTTATTTTTTAGTTAAAAAAGTTTATTCATGTTTTTTAATAATCAGTTACCACTTGCTAAACCTGTTCCCTGTTTGTGATACTACCCTCTCTCTGTGGCTGTAGCATTTAGCTTTGGATTCAGCAGATTCAAACTCATTCCAAAGTATACTAACATTTCTTTCAGCACTTTATGTCATGGGAGACAGAATCCAGTGTCTAGAAAGCCAAGACAGTGTCTAGAAATGAAAAAAAAAGATGTATGTGCCAGTGTTCTACCTGTCTTTAAAAAACAAAAACAGGCTTGGCTATTCACTTCTCTTTTTTTTTCTCTGTCGTGCCAGCTGGAATGCAATGGCGACATCCTAGCTCACTGCAACCCCTGCCTCCTGGGATCAAGCCATTCTCCTGCCTCAGCCTCCTGAGTAGCTGGGATTATAGGCACCCAACACTGTGGCAGGCTAATTTTTGTATTTTTAGTAGAGACAAAGTTTTGCCATGTTGGCCAGGCTGGTTGTGAACACCTGACCTCAGGTCATTTGCCTGCCTTGGCCTCCCTTAGTTATGGGATTACACGAATACGCCACCATGCCCAGTCGGCTATTGACTTCTAAAGGCACTATGTTATATTGGTGGGGAGATGGAGGAGCTGTGTTACGTAAACATAACAGACTTTTATTTTTATTCTTTGTGGCTCTTTGCATTGTGCTCACTTTCTGGAGCATTCTACACACTTAACTCATTTATAGATTTTTCACGCATGCATTTTCGTCTGTAGATGTTTCTTACATTTATATGTCTGTAAAGAAATTAGGACCTGGTCTGGGCATGGTGGCTCACGCCTGTAATCCCAGCACTTTGGGAGGCCGAGGTGGATGGATCATGAGGTCAAGAGATAGAGACCATCCTGGTCAACATGGTGAAACCCCGTCTCTACTAAAAATACAAAAAATTAGCTGGGCATGGTGGCGCGTGCCTGTAATCCCAGCTACTCAGGAGGCTGAGGCAGGAGAATTGCCTGAACCTCAGAGGCGGAGGTTGCGGTGAGCTGAGATCATGCCATTGCACTCCAGCCTGGGTAACAAGAGCGAAAACTTCGTCTCCAAAAAAAAAAGAAATGAGGACCTTTGGTATTTTGTTACGCAATTTTTTTTTTGAGACAAAGTCTTGCTCTGTTGTCCAGGCTGGAGTGCAGTTCTTTGATCGCAGCTCACTGCAATTGCTGTCTCCTAGGTTCAAGTGATTCTCTTGCCTCAGCCTCCTGAGTAGCTGGGATTACGGGTGCAGACTACCACACCTGGCTAGTTTTTTTTTTTTTTTTTTTTTTTGTATTTTTTTTTTATTTGTAGAGATGGGTTTCACCATATTGGCCAGACTGGTCTCAAACTCCTGACCTCACATGATCTGCCCACCTTAACCTCTCAAAGTGCTTAGATTACAAGCATGAGCTGCCACGCCCAGACTTGTTATGCAATCTTATTTATGTAGTTTGTATAATTTTATAGATTAGACTTGTAAAGAATATGTATCTGACTGTAGTATGTGGATTCAATTGTTATTTTTATTTCTTTCAGGTATGCGTTCCTATTTTGCCCAAGACCTTTGGCTAGAGGAGAGTGTAAAAGATTCTTTCCAAACAGTAATACTGAGAAAATATGAAAAATCTGGATATCACAATTTACAGTTAAAGAACAGGCATAAAGGTGTGGATGAGTATAGGGTGTACAAAGGAAATTGTAATGGACAGTGTTTGACAGCTACCCAGAGCAAAATATTTCAATGTGATAAATATGTGAAAGACTTTCATACATTTTCAAATTCAAATAGACATAAGACTGAAAAGAATCCTTTCCAGTGTAAACAGTGTGGCAAATCATTTTGCATTCTTTCACACCTAACTCAACATGAAAAAATTCACACTACTGTGAATTCCTACAAAATTGAAGAATGTGGCAAGGCCTGTAATGTGTCCTCAACCCTTTCTCAACATAAAAGAATTCATACAGGACAGAAACACCACAAATGTAAAGAACGTGGCAAAGCTTTTAACAAGTCTTCACACCTTAAAACACATAAGATAATTCATACTGGAGAGAAATCCTACACAACTGAAGAATGTGGCAAAACTTTTAACGCATCCTCACACCTTACTACACGTACGATAATTCATACTGCAGAGAACGCCTACAAATGTAAAGAGTGTGGCAAAGCTTTTAACCAGTTGTCAACTCTTACTAGACATAAGAAAATTCATGCTGGAGAGAAACCCTTCATATGTGAACATTGTGGCAAAGCTTTTAACCAATCCTCCAACCTTACTAAACATAAGAGAATTCATACTGGAGATAAACCTTATAAATGTGAAGAATGTGGCAAAGCCTTTAATGTGTCCTCAACCCTTACTCAACACAAAAGAATTCATACGGGGGAGAAACCTTACAAATGTGAAGAGTGTGGCAAAGCCTTTAATGTGTCCTCAACCCTTACTCAACATAAGAGAATTCATACTGGAGAAAAACCATACAAATGTGACGAATGTGGCAAAGCCTTTAACACATCCTCACACCTTACTACACATAGGAGAATTCATACGGGAGAGAAACCCTACAAATGTGAAGAATGTGGCAAAGCCTTTAGCCAGTTCTCACAACTTACTACACATCAGATAATTCATACTGGGGAGAAACCCTACAAATGTGAAGAATGTGGCAAAGCATTTAAGCAACTCTCAGCCCTTACTGCACATAAGACAATTCATACTGGAGAGAAACCCTACAAATGTGAAGAATGTGGCAAAGCTTTTAACCTATCCTCACACCTTACTACACATAAGAAAATTCATACTGGAGAGAAACCCTACAAATGTAAAGAATGTGGCAAAGCTTTTAACCAATCCTCAACCCTTGCTAGACATAAGATAATTCATGCTGGAGAGAAACCCTACAAGTGTGAACAGTGTGGCAAAGGTTTTTACCAATACTCAAACCTTACCCAACATACGATAGTTCATACTAGAGAGAAACCCTACAAATGTGTAGAATGTGGCAAAGCCTTTAAATGGTCCTCAACTCTCACTAAACATAAGACAATTCATACTGGAGAGAAACCCTACAAATGTGAAGATTGTGGCAAAGCCTTTAATAAGTTCTCAACCCTTACTACACATAAGAAAATTCATGCTGGAGAGAAACACTACAAATGTGAAGAATGTGGCAAAGCCTTCAACTGGTTTTCAAATCTTATGGAACATAAGAGAATTCATACTGGAGAAAAACCCTACAAATGTGAAGAATGTAGCAAAGCCTTTAAGTGGTCCTCAACTTTTACTAAACATAAGGTAATTCATACTGGAGAGAAACCCTACAAATGTAAAGAATGTGGCAAAGCTTTTAACCAATGTTCAAACCTTACTACACATAAGAAAATTCATGCTGTAGAAAAATCTTATAAAGAATGTGGCAAAGCTTTTAACCGGTCATGAACTCACAACACATAAGATAAGTTATGCTGGAGAGAAACCCAGAAGTGTGAATAATGTAGCAAAGCCTTTAACAAGTCCTTAATTCTTAGCAGACATAATTCCTACTGGAGAGGAACTGTACAAACCTGAAAGATGTAACAGTGCAATTGACAACACCTCAACTTTTCTAAATGTAAAAGAAATAATGCTGGTGCAAAATCCTAAAAATAGAAAGAATATTACAAAGATAAATGGTTGTCATACTTGATTGTAGGTAAAATACTTTGTACTGGAGAAAACCTACAAGTGTGAAGAATGTGGCAAAATTTTTAACTGATGCTGACAAAACTATGGCTTTGGCTGGGCATGGTGGCTCATGCCTATAATCCCAGCACTCTGGGAGGTCGAGGCAGGTCGATCATCTGAGGTCAAGAGTTTGAGACCAGTGTGGCCAACATGATGAAACCCCATCTCTACGAAAAATACAAAAAAGTTAGCTGGGTGTGGGGGTGCATGCCTATAGTTTCAGCTACTTGGGAGGCTGAGGGAAGAGAATCACTTGAACCCAGGAGGCAGAGGTTGCGGTAAGCCAAGATCACGCCACTGCACTCCAGCTTGAGTGACAGAGCAAGATTCCATGTCAAAAAAGAAAAATCGCTGTCAAAAGATTTTTCAGAAACTGCAAGCCTTTAAAGTGAAGAAGAGTATTTATTTTGAAGACAAACATTAAAATACGAGCTGGGTGTGGTGGCTCACACCTGTAATTTCAGCACTTTGGGTGGTTGGATCATGTGAGGTCGGAAGTTTGAGACCAACTTGGCTAACATGGTGAAACTCCGTTTCTACCCAAAATACAAAAATTAGGTGGGCATGGTGGCACACGACTAATCCCAGGTATTTGAGAGCTTGTGACAGGAGAATTGTTTGAACCTGTGAGGCGGAGGTTGCAGTGAGCTGAGATTGTGCCATTGAACTCCAGCCTGGGTGAAAGAGTGAGACTCAATCTGAAAAAAACCATATATATATATATATATAGAGAGAGAGTTGTATTATATGACAGATCTTATTATACACATTTTGTACAAACTTCACTCAAACTTTGTTCAACATCAGGGAATTTATATTGAAGAAAATCTCAGGCCGGGTGCGGTGGCTCAAGCCTGTAATCCCAGCACTTTGGGAGGCCGAGGCAGGTGGATCACGAGGTCAAGAGACCGAGACCATCCTGGTAAACATGGCGAAACCCCATCTCTACTAAAAATACAAAAAATTAGCTGGGCATGGTAGCATGTGCCTGTAATCCCAGCTACTCAGGAGGCCGAGGCAGGAGAATTGCTTGAACCCAGGAGGCGGAGGTTGTGTGGGTAACAAGAGCAAAACTCCGTCTCAAAAAAAAAAAAAAAAAATCTCTGCAAATGTAATAAATTTTGAAAAACTTTTTAAAACACAAACTACAGCTTAGGAAACACCAGAGAGTTTATACTAAAATATATTTTTGCAGATGTGGTGATATAAAAAATGAGTTATTTGAAAATTATGTAAATATTAATTCAGAGTAGAAATATCTAAGGAACTGACTTCAGACACTACACTAAATCAGAGTACTGAGTTTAGAACATAATTTAAAGCTGAAGTTATACATAAACATTTTTTATGTAACTTTAAAAGGGTATAAGATATTTTGGAAAGCTATAATTACATTCAAAATATACTTTTTTTTTTTTTTTTTTTAAGACAGAGTCTTGCTTAGTCACCCAGGTTGGAGTGCAGCCTCTGCTTCCCAGGTTCAAGTGAATCTCTTGCTTCAGCCCCCCAGGTAGCTGAGGTTACAGACATGAGCCACTATGCCTGGCTAACTTGTAATTTTAGTAGAGATGGAGTCTCATCATTAGCCAAGTTCGTCTGGAAACTCCTGACCTCAGGTGATTCAGCCTCCAAAAGTGTTAGGATGACAGAGATGTATGCTGCTGTGTCCAGCCAAAGTATATTTTTTTCTTGAAAAAAGATTTTTTTGGATACGTGAATAAGGATGTAATTCAGCTTTCAAATTGATGACTGTATCTTTATTCCTGTTGTATTCACATGTGAAAACATGATGAATTGTTCCTGCATGAAAGATATGAGAGATTCTTTTTTATTAGGTGAGCATTATTACTTTTTCTATTAAATAATAAAGACATTAAAGTGTAAGATGCATGATGCAAATCTAAGTAGGGATGCTCTTTGTGGTTAACGTACAATATTTAGTGATGGCTGACGTAGCTGTTCAGTTTAATATTCTGCATTGTGAGAAAAATTTTTAATTTTAGTTAAAATTAATAATATATTATTTTACTAATTGTACTTTTATGTGATACAATCCAGTAAATTTAAAAACCTTGAAGTTAGCCGGGTGTGGTGGCTCATGCCTGTAATCCCAGCACTTTGGGAGGCCGAGGCAGGTGGATCACGAGGTCAAGAGATTGAGACCATCCTGGTCAACATGTGAAACCCCATCTCTACTAAAAGTACAAAAAATTAGCTGGGCATAGTGGCACGTGCCTGTAATCCCAGCTACTCGGGAGGCTGAGGCAGGAGAATTGCCTGAACCCAGGAGGGGGAGGTTGCGGTGAGCTGAGATTGCACCATTGCACTCCAACCTGGATAACAAGAGCAAAACTCCGTCTCAAAAAAAATAAATAAATAAAAATAAAAACATTGAAGTTATGTGTAGACTTAATTTTCGAATTTAACATTTTTAACATGTTAAATACTATTGTGCACTCAATGAAACAGTATTTTGCCACTGACCTTAACCCATTCCACCTTAAGAGTGTAAAGGATGGTAACAATATATTTGTTGACATAATAAAGTACCATCTCTAGTAATTTTTTTTGCCAATGGCTTTAAACTGCAAAGAAGTTAAGGAATGTTCCTGAAGGTTAAATTTTTATTTTTCTTTGTCATTTAAATTTACTTAATTTTTTGGGTGCATAGTATGTGTATATGGCATTATATATTGTATGCATGTATCAAAATATGCCATGTGGCATATTTTGATACATGCATACAATATATAATAATCACCTCATGGTAAATTAGGTATCTATCACCTCTGGCATTTATTCTTTGTATTACAGAAAATTTAGTTTTACAGTTTTTGTTATTTTAAAATGTACAATTGTTACTGGTGGCTGGACGTGGTGGCTTATGCCTGTACTCCTCGCACTTTGGGAGCCCCAGATGGGTGGATCACCTGAGGTCAGGAATTCGAGACCAGTGTGGGCAACATGTCAAAACTCCCATTTGTACTAAAAATACAAAAATTATTGGGCCGGGCACTGTGGCTCACACCTGTAATCTCAGCAATTTAAGAGGGTGAGGTGGGTGGATCACGAGGTCAGGAGTTCGAGACTAGCCTTGCCAACGTGGTGAAACCCTGTCTGCCAAAGATAGAAAAAGTTAGCTGGGCGTGGGGGTGGACATCTGTAATCCCAGTTACTCTGAAGGCTGAGGCAGGAGAATCATTTAAAACTGGAAGTGAAGGTTGCAGTGAGTTGAGATCATACCGCTGCACTCCAACCTGGGCAATAGAGCGAGACTCTCTCAAAATGAATAAATAGTATTGACTGACTACAGGGTAATTTCTTTGGTTATAATATTATTTAGAAGTATTACTAAATCCATGCATTTGTGAGTCTTGAATAGATATTTTCATAAATTCCTTAAATATTTTTATTTGAACATGTGGCCTGCCTGCCTGTAAACTCAGATTTTTAATTTTGATTTACATAAAGTTAGCCAGGAGTGGTGGCTCTTGCCTGTAATTCCAGCACTTTGGGAGGCGATGTGGGCAGAACACCTGAGGTCAGGAGTTTGAGACCAGCCTGACCAACACCAACATGGAGAAACCCCATCTATACCAAAAATACAAAATACAGCCAGGCATTGTGGTGCATGTAATCTCAGCTACACAGGAGGAAAATGGCTTGAACTACGGAGGCGGAGGTTGCAGTGAGCCAAGATTGTGCCTTGCACTCCAGCCTGTACAACAAGAGTGAAACTCCATATCAAAACAAAAAAACAACACACATACATTAAAGATAAACCTTAGGAAAGAAAATTAAAATTATGGAGTATGTGTGCTTGTATGAATATGAGTTTGTTACCTATTTTCAGAAGAAAACACTATTGGAATAAAACCATTTTAATAAGGTGATTAATTTCTAGATAATAATAACCTAAAAAATGCCGAAAGCAAATTTGTGCTCTCAGTTTTGTATTCAGTACTGTAAAACCTTATGGCTTATGGTTCAGAATTTCCATACAAAGTCTGTTTTTCTTTGCTTGATACTCATGCTAGATTTATAGTTTTCTTGTTATTTGTTTTATAGTTTATGAAGTATTCATTACGTGAGCTGGTCATTGATTATAAGAATGTTAATAAAATTTAGTAGTGCACACAACATTTTAAGATGTAATTCCATAATTAGTATGTTTTATTTAGAATATTCCATTTTGTTACAGATGTTTATGTAAGCCTACTTTTCTTTTTTTTTTTTTTTTTTAACTTTTCTGAGATGGAGTTTCGCTCTTGTTACCCAGGCTGGAGTGCAATGGCGTGATCTCAGCTCACTGAAACCTCCGCCTCCTGGGTTCAGGCAATTCTTCTGCCTCAGCCTCCTGAGTAGCTGGGATTGCAGGCACGCACCACCATGCCCAGCTAAGTTTTTGTATTTTTAGTAGAGACGGGGTTTCACCATGTTGACCAGCATGGTCTCGATCTCTTGGCCATGGATCTCTTGATCCATCCGCCTCGGCCTCCCAAAGTGCTGGGATTACAGGCGTGAGCCACCGCGCCTGGCCCACTTTTCTTTATTGCCCTCTTTCTGTAGAAGACATAAGTAAATTTACTTATTTATTGAGTCTTTTTTTTTTGGTCAAGTAAGTTCTAGGAAAGCTTCATAAGTCATGAGAATGTTTTTATATATAAATGTATCAAAGAAACATGACTGAGTTCAGGCGCGGTGGCTCCCACTTTTAATCCCAGCACTTTGGGAGGCCAAGGTGGGCAGATTACCTCAGGCCAGGAATTCAAGACCGGCCTGGCAAACAAAACCCCATTTCTACTAAAAACAAAAATTAAGGCTGGCGTGGTGGCTCACACTTGTAATCCCAGCACTTTGGGAGGCCGAGGGCAGATCATAAGGTCAAGAGTTCAAGACCAGTCTGACCCCCAATATGGTGAAACTGTCTCTACTAAAAATACTAAAATTAGCTGGGCCTGGTGACACATGCCTGTAATCCCAGCTACTCAGGAAGCTAAGGCAAGAGAATCACTTACACCCAATAGGCGGAGGTTGCAGTGGCCAGGATTGTGCAACAAAAGTCCCACCTGGGGGACAGAGCGAGACTGTCTCAAAAGGGAAAAAAAAAAGCATGACTGCTTACTGTGTAACTGATGCTCCATAATAAGCCATAAATATTTCTGCTTAAGTTAGATTGTAACTTCAAGTCAGCCATTTCTGGTCTTTTTTTTTATCCCCCAATCCATTGGAATGTTTGTTTTTCCTCAATTACCATACTGTTTTAGCTAATGTAACTTTTTAGTATATTTTAAGGTCAGGTAGGGTGATACCTTCACCTTTTTTTTTTTAATCTTTATTGCTTTGGCCACTAACAGTCTTCTGTGGTACCACATAAATTTTAGATGTATGTTTTAAAATTTAAAGTATGTCACTGGTATTTTTGTAGAGGTTGCATTATATTTGTAGATTTTCTTTAATACAGATATTTAACACTAGTAATGCCAATTCATTTGAAGGTAATATTTTTCCATTTATGTATTAATTTTGTACTTAAATATTGTTTAGATTATAATGCATAGATGTTTCCAGTTTTTGGTTAAATTTATTTCACTATATAATTAATACAGTTATTCTAGATGAGTTTTTTTTGTTTTGTTTTGAGACAGTTTTGCTCTTGTTGCCCAGGCTGGAGTGCAATGACTTGATCTTGGCTCACTGCAACCTCTGCCCCTGGGTTCAAGTGATTCTTCTGCCTCAGCCTCCGGAGTAGCTAATATACACAAATAAGTAGCATTTCTGTGCACGAGTACCATTCAAGCAGAAAATTGAGAACACAGTGTTACTTACAATAGCTACAACCAAAAAATAATATACCTAGGCAATACACTAAATTGAGATAAAATATCTCTAGACTGAGAACTATAAATACTGCTGAAAGGAATCAGAGACAAAAGGCATTTTATGCTCATGAATTTGAAGAACCAATATAATTAGAATGTCCTTTCTACCTAAAGCAATCTACAGATTAGTTCTTTTCTATCAAGCTATCAATGACTTTAAAAATAGAATTAGTAAAAAAATGCTATTCTAAAATTGAAGAATACAAGAGCCAAAGTAACTTTAGGGAAAACGTATAAACCTAGAGACTTCCTATTACTTTAATTCTGGTACAAAATATATATATAGACCAATGAAATGGAAGAGAACTCTGAAATAAAGGTACACTTATACGACCAGTTTATTTTTGATAGAGACAACAGAAATAAAAATATAAGTCAAGGTAGTTTTAAGTCTTTCATCTACCTCGAGTTGTATGTTTTGTTTTGGTCTTGAGACAGTCTTGCTCTGTCTCCCAGGCTGGAGTTCAGTGGAGTGATCTAGGCTCACGGTGCCACCTCCACCTTTCGGGGTTCAAGCAATTCTTTTGCCTCAGTCTCTTGAGTAGCTGGAATAGCATGTCCGGCGAGTTCTGTCATTTATACAGCAAGAGGTAGAGGTCCAGTTTTCTTCTCCATATAATTAACCAGTATTTTCAGTATCATTTATTAAGTAAGAAGGGACTAAAGCTGGCCATGGTGGCTCATGATTGTAATCCCAGCACTTGGGGAGGCAGAGGTGGATGATCAGGAGTACGAGACCAGCCTGATCAACATGGTGAAACCCCATCTCTACTAAAAATACAAAATTAGGCAGATGTGGTGGCACATGTCTGTAATGCCAGCCACTCGGGAAGCAGAGGCACGAAAATCGCCTAAACCTGAGAGGCAGAGGTTGCAGTGAGCCAAGATATCACCACTGCATTCCAACCTGGGTAACGAGGGAAATTCTCATCTCAGAAAAAAAAAGATGACTTCATGTTTATTTCTGTTGACGCCCAGGTTCAATCAATTTTGCCTCAGCCTCCCAAGTAACTGGGGTTATAGGTATGTGCTATCATCCCCAGCTAATTTTTATATTTTAGTAGAGACAGGGTTTTGCCATGTTGGCCAGGCTGGTCTTGAACTCATGACCTCACATTCCATGATCCACCCGCCTCAGCCTCCCAAAGTGCCAGAATTACAGGTGTCAGCCACTGTGCCCAGCCAATTACATTTTTTAGAATGAGACATTTCTGAATATGTGAAGCTGTGAAATCATGCTGAATTTCTGAATTAGAAAAAGAAAGCATTTTTTTCTAATAAAATTATAAAAGACTTAACAGCTATAGCTCAAAAATGATGAAACAGAGTGTAGGTTAAGCCCATACTGCTGCAAATGCTCATTCCGTCACAACCATGCTACTGAAAACGGAAATAATGGGTTAGAAGGTAATTTGAGAGTATATTTCTTATTCTATTGCTGTGTAAAATTTTTCTTTGTTTCTTGCCATACAGAAGCCTGTACTTCAAAAGATGTTATGAATTTCAAGTCAATG